TCTCTCTCTCTCTCTCTCTCTCTCTCTGCCCCTCCCACGCTCATGCTCTGTCTCTGTCTCTCTCAAAAATAAATGAACGTTAAAAAAATTTTTTTTTAAATAAAAGAAAAAGAAAAAATCTGGTACGTAGCTAAAATCTGGGTTAGTTGTGTGACCTTGGAAAAGTGACTTCGTCTCTCTGATTCTCAGGTTTTTTTGTTTGGTTTTTTTGTTGTTGTTGTTGTTTTAATCAGTAAATGGAGACATTGTGGAGTTGTCTGTAGGGTGAAGATGTGAGGTAGTTTGTGTAGAATCCTGGTCTGGGACCTGGTACACAGTCGATACTCAATAAATGTTAGGCAAAAGTAAAAGTTCTGTTGTTAAGTAATTTCAAGAAGCAATTATTAAGCACCCGTTGTGGTCACACAGCCCCGTGTCCAGCTCTGTGCTGACAACTCTGAGCCTGGAGCCTGCTCCAGATTCTGTGTGTGTGTGTCTCCCTCTCTCTCTCTGCCCCTCCCCTGCTCACACTCTGTGTCTCTCTGTCTCTCAATAATAAATAAATGTTTGGGGCGCCTGGGTGGCGCAGTCGGTTAAGCGTCCGACTTCAGCCAGGTCACGATCTCGCGGTCCGTGAGTTCGAGCCCCGCGTCAGGCTCTGGGCTGATGGCTCAGAGCCTGGAGCCTGTTTCCGATTCTGTGTCTCCCTCTCTCTCTGCCCCTCCCCCGTTCATGCTCTGTCTCTCTCTGTCCCAAAAATAAATAAACGTTGAAAAAAAAAATTTTAAAAATAAATAAATAAATAAATAAATAAATGTTTAAAAATATGTATTTTTTTTAACGTACCAAAGTTTCCCCTCTTGATAAACCTTTAAGTTGTTTCCACTTTTCACTGCAGACTTTGTAGGTAGGTATTCAGCTTCACTTCCCTATCAACAAGTGGACTCCAGCTATAACCCCAAAATTATTGTTATATTAACTCCACACATCTGATCTCCCAAGATATGCCTATAATCCGTGCTGCTGTATCCTCAGATCTGTCCGATAAACTCATTACACATTACATGTTGACATAAGTAACATTTTTATGAGAAATAACTTTCCCAAAGAAAAATTTAATGAGAAAAGTTACTTTATTTCACATTTTTGCAAATCTCTTTGATGTCTGATTTAATGTAAGACATCTGGATTTTCTAATCTTTTTTGCATTCAATCTATTAGGATGTTACTGTGGTTCAAATACATGAAGAAATCTGTTCTCATGCAGATAAGAATATTTTAATAATTTCAGATAATTCTTCTTTGACACTGTAGCAAAAATATAAACGTAATTGTTCCTTAAAGGTGAATTATAATGTGGAGTATGAATATTGATGAACTTCTTGTATTCTGGTACATTAAAGTGATTGGTCTCTCTTGGTATTTAAATGCGTTTTTTACCTGGGTGGCTCGGTCGGTTAAGCGTCCGACTCTTGGTTTCTGTTTTCGGCTCAGGTCACCATCTTGCAGTTTCGTGAGTTGGAGCCCCACGTCGGGCCCTGTGCTGGCTGCGCAGAGCCTGCTTGGGATTCTCCGCTTCCCTCTCTCTCTCTGCCCCTCCCCGATTTGTGCTGCCTCTGCCTTTCTCAGGATAAATAAGTAAACTTGAAAAAAAAGTTTTTTGGTTTTTTTTTTTTTTTTTTTCATAAAAATAAATGGGTTTGTTACCCGTGTGTGACTTTATTGCTTCACGCATTGGCCAGTAAAATAGTTCTGATTCACCGAATTGTATTGTTCTTCCATTCCCTGTGTGTATCCAAAACCATTCGCATTTGTTAATCTTGCCACTTACTTCACGAGGAGAATTTTGTTGCAGTTCTAAAGACTCGCATGATAGTCGCCACGAGTTTTCCAAAACACCAATGTTCACGCTCAAATTTTATCGCTGAAAACAGACCCTTTCAGCTGTTTCTGAAGTAACCGGCTCACTTCGCTCATTTTCAGTTCCCGAGTCCGAACAGCCACAGCTTGTCAGTCATCTGTCCAAGGACAGGTGGTGCCGCGCGGAAGAGGCTAGCCCCGCTCGCCATTGCGTTTGCGCACGTGTGTTTCCTGGACACAGCCGTCAAGGATGCGCACTTCTGTTGTGCCGTGCAGGACATTACGATTTCTGACTCGCGGGTCAACATTTCGCAGGATTTTCATGACTTCATCGAAAGCGCTCACAATGTTTAATGTTTTTATGCTGCGGCCTGGCTCATTTCCAGTCGTCTCATTCTCCTAGTCCAGTTCTGTGCCACTTGCCTGAATTCCTGCTAAGATGCCAGCACTTGTACCCACCATCGCCTTCCCCGTTAGTGCGAATGGCCGCGTGGCGAGCCGGCACGTGCCTCCGTAGGACTGGGAGGGCAGTAGACTCGGAGTACTTCGTGGCCTGAAGGCAGTCTTTCCCCCTCAAGTCCCTCGGGATCAGCAGAGTGTCCGCGAACTGCTGGTCCGGAGACAGTGATGGGACGAACACCCAGGTGACGGAGAAGTGCTTGTAGTTCCTGCGCAGATGAGTCCCCTCGAGGACAGAAAAGTCAGAGCAAGGAAATAGAAGCAGCCTCTTTAAAGCAGAAAGGGGCTTTTGACTTTCAATAGAAGGACTATTCTGATAGAGAGCGGAAAAAATGTTAACAGATCATAAATTGGAATGTAAATACTCTTGAGTTATTTAAATTCAGGGACTCCTGTTTTAGAAAATTCTTATACTTCCCATTTTTACAGACCATCTTAGGTTATTTATAATAATGGAGAACAGACGCCAGATGCTCTAGGAAATGATTTTAATAAACGAACAGTTCTCAGTTTTCGGTTTGCTTCATAATGACCTGTGTCTTTTTTGGTATGTTGTTTCATATAGGCTACTATTAAAATTGATCTTCAGCAGATACCACATGAAGCATGCTGGAAAAGTGTAGCTAAAATTCAAAATCTGTGATGGAAAAATCTATAAAATTAGAAATCTTTATTTTCCTAGTCCGTGTGTATTAGACCTTGTGGCTGTTTGACCCTTTGTATGAACAGATACTGAAATTGATAGTATTTTTTTGTTTCAGGAAAGTATCTAAGGCAAAAGAGAATTGACTTCCAGCTTCCCTATGACATCCTTTGGCAGTGGAAACATAATCAGGTACAGGAGCCTATCTTACAGGTTTTGTTCTGGGGAGGGGGGCCTGCAAGTCTCTGTCTCTGCCTCCTTGTTACGCTCTCATCTTAGGACGTATGGAGAAGTGTCCCCGTGAAGGTTACAGACTAAGGAAAATGAATTTGCATCCATATTTAATGTGACCTATTTGCCTGTATTCCTACTTCAGAATAGCAGTGAGTTCCTGCTTCCCTGGGCAACCTTCTGTATTATTCTGGACTTTTATTCTGGTAGCAGAGATGGTTCTGTAAGAATCCTGTTTGATGCAGGTCCCGGGAGAATTTAGATGTACTGCCAGCGGCACTAAGAAATTTCAGGCTTTATTTTTGTTGGCTCCTTCCCATCAGTTTGGAATTTATTTTTCACATACAAAAGAGATCTTCTACCAAAGGAAACAAGGGAAACGTTTTAACACTCGTGTGCTTTTAACAGATCTTTAAATGGGGAACTGAAAGTGGGAAGGTGCTTTCTTTTCTCTCCTTTGCCCTAACTGGAAAGTTTCCCCAGGAATGTTTGTGGTGAGCTGGAGCCCCCGGCCCCATGTTGAAAGCAGCAGTGGAAAAGAGTCGTGCAAATGTGATGAATAGACTCCTGAGCTTTGCCCAGATTCCACCAAAGTTTAATTTTGGAAAGCCAGAAGCAATGGACCTTCTCTACATTCTCTTCTCTGGTGACCTCTCTTCAGTCTGGGAGGATCGATATGTTAGACATTTGTGTCAGAGTTCATAACCATGAAGGAGACAATGCTCTGACTGTCCCCACTGAAAAGTGATGGTGGGGCTTCTCTTACAGGTTAACACGCCCTCTCTTAGGGCATCTGGGGGGCTCAGTCGGTTAAGCGGCCGCCTCTTGGTTTCCGCTCAGGTCCAGATCTCAGGGCTTGTGGGGTGGAGCCCCGCGTCGGGCTCTGCGTTGACCGTGCGGAGCCCGCTTGGGGTTTTCTCCTCTCTCTCTCTTCCCTCCCTGCCTTGTGCTGGCTGATGCACTCTGTCTCTCTCTCTCTCGAAATAAATACGTAAACTTTTTTCAAGTTTATTTTCTTCATTGCAGTATGAAAGCTTTATTTCCTGCCTTCCCTCTCCCCTTTATTCACTAAATTAATTGCCTTAATTAAAATGTGAAATGTTGGGGCGCCTGGGTGGCTCAGTCGGTTGAGCGTCCGACTTCCGCTCAGGTCACGATCTCACGGTCTGTGAGTTCGAGCCCCGCGTCAGGCTCTGGGCTGATGGCTCAGAGCCTGGAGCCTGCTTCCGATTCTGTGTCTCCCTCTCTCTCTGCCCCTCCCCCGTTCATGCTCTGTCTCTCTCTGTCTCAAAAATAAATAAACATTAAAAAAAAATTTTTTTTTTTTAATAAAAAAAATAAAATGTGAAATGTGTTTTTCTGGAATACCCACCCTGAAAAGGTCAGGGTGCTCATCTTTTTAATGCCATATATTCCCCCAGACCATCTCAACAAGCTCTGTGCAACTTTTCCTTTCTTTTCATAAAGGCAAATCAAGCCTTAAGCAATTTTTGTTTAAGTCTAAAACATGCTAAAGAAGCTTATAGTTGAAAACGCATTTTCATTAAAGTGTTTACCGTTTCTTCTGTTGTTGAATCTGTTTCTCTCTCACCTCACCCTCCTCTAGTCTAGTAAGTCACTTTTTATTTCAGGGTAAAAAGTGATCACACCAAGAATTTCCCTCAGATACACACAACCCAGAAAATCTTTTAAATATTCCCATGGGAGCAGGGCACATGGATAATTTCTTGTGTTTTTAGTGATTGATGCTGCTGCCTGGCATTTGAAGTTAAATGCTATATCAGGATTTTTCTTTTTTTTCTTCTAGCTATACAAAAAGCCAGATGTCCCACTATATAAAAAAATCCGTTCAAGTGAGTAACTTGGGAGCTATTTTTTCTGCCATCATACCATCAGTGTTCTTCTTGGCCTGGCACTTAAAAAATGATCTTATATGTTTACAAATTACTCTTTGCTGTCTTCTCTCAAGATGTCTACGTTGATGTCAAACCCCTTTCTGGTTACGAGGCCACCACCTGTAACTGTAAGAAGCCAGATGATGATACCAGGAAGGGCTGTGTGGATGACTGTCTCAATAGGTACTGTACTAAATTGATTTCTCTAAAAGCACAGGCTTCAAGACCTAGGACACTTCACTTGGAGGGAAAAGTTAAATAAGCTCTTTGAATTGCTCTCATGAAGTTGCATAAAGATACATAAAACCTACCTGATGGGCTGTCTTAATCTACTTGGGCTATTACGGCAAAATACCATTGACCTGGTGGCTTAAACAACAGAAATTTATTTCTCACAGTTCTGGAGGCTAGGAAGTCCAAGGTCAAGATGCAAGTATTTGCTGTCTGGTGAGGACCCACTTCCAGGCTTATAGACAGCCACTTTCTGCCTGTGTGCTCACGTGGCCTTTCCTTAGTGTGTGCTCACGGAGGAGAGCTCTCTGGTCCTCCTCCTGTAAGGGCACTGATCCCATCGTGAGAGTCCCACCCTCATACCCTAATATAAGCCAGTTGACCTCCCAAATGCCCTACCTCCAAATAACCATCACACTGGGGGCCAGGGCTTCAGCTGTTCGTTTTGGGGAGACACAAACATTCAGCCCATCACATGGGCTGCATAGAGTAACAGGAAAAGAATGAGACTTAGAGTCTTAACCATACCCAGGTTTAAATCCTGTTACTACTTATAAGACCTGAGGAAGGTTATTTAACCCCTCTCATAAAATTAGTACCTTCTTTATGGGGGGTTGGGAGGGTAAGGATCTTAGGAGACAATGTTCATAAAGCATTCAGCACAGTTCTAGAAACTTTCCTAGATCTCCGTACATTGTAGCCATAATGAGGGCATAAGGTAGGATGGTGGCAGTGAAAGAAGGGCATGATGTGTTTGGAAGGAAAACTGGTCTGGTGACCCACTGGCATGTGCACATAGATGGACATGTGTAGACTGGGTCAGTGTTGCCAATGAGAGATGGTAATCCTGTTGCCACAGAATGAAAGTATGGGGTCTGATTAGTTTAGAGATGGAAACTATTATTTTACTTTGGGGCCATTGAGTTCTAAATGACATGGAGGTTTCAAAATGGAAATGTCTGATAGAGACCCTGGAATGGAGATCTAATTTGTTGGTTTTAGTAACATAAGCAAATTTACAGTAAAGAAGAACCAATGATGAACTTTACATCGATACTTCCTGTTCTAGATAGTTTTCCTAGCCAAAGACAACTGCTTCCCCAGTGTCTGGTCAACTGTCCTATGGGCTACGGGAATCAATGTTCTAGTACCTCCTGTATCAACATGACATCTGAGAAACTCTGCCTTACACATCATTGTAAATTCACATCTTATATATACATACATGCATACATACGGTTTTACATAGGAGTCATGGCTGCTGGTATGTAGTCTGTGTTGTGCACTGATTTTTTTCCACTCACAGATGCTTTATATATACACTTTTATGTATCCATGTGGTCCGCTCACTCACCATTTTTAGGTGCTCTGTTATCTTTTGTAGGTTGATAGCCCCTAGTTTGCCAACCTCCTGTGGTTCATCATTCACATGACTCCCAATGTTTTGCTATTAAAAATGGCACCACAGTGAAACTGGGCACATTCCTCTTTCTTTAATTCTTAGGGTGCACTCTCCGAAGGAGCCTTACCTATACGGACTGTGAATGTTTGCATAATTCCTACTCTGCACTGTCCAGTGGCTCGCATGAAATGATGAGTGGATTTGGGGTGTCACCACCAGTACCTGAATATACTCACTTCCCCGTAGTTCCACCCCCGCTTAGGGATTCACACCTAACTTTATTTTCGGTGCTTTGTATTTCATTGGTTTGATATTTGGGAGTATCCTATATCTTTAAAATTGCTTAATTTGCATTCCTTTATGTGCTAACATTACTGTGTTTTTTTATATGATATTTATTATCTGTGAAATTGCTGTAATATAGCGACTATCTCATTGGCTACTTCCCTCTCTTTTTCACAGTACTCCAATGAGATAGGTAATAGTTTTATATTTTATAAATGAAGGATCCTAGAGTTTGGGTAGCAGATTGCTCCATATTGTACACAGCACTTGAGTGACAGAGACAGAATTTGAATCCACACATGTCTTAATCAGAATTTGTGTTCTTTCCAGTATATACTCTGCTTACTTTTAAGTCGTTAGTCTTTTAATCACATGGAATTGGAATCCAAATATTTACCTTTACATAATCACATTGGTTGTCTTGGGTCATTTTTGTTGGTATGGGTGTCACATTTATCCTCAACACCGTGTTGTCTTTCTTCAAAAACAAGCAAACAAACAAAAACCTCAGATACAATGCTGCCAACTTTATATCAGGAGAATATGGTTCCTACATATGCATGCATCTAATGAATGATGTGATAAATGCATACATTTAAATACAAATGTATTTATTTATTTATTCTGTATTTAATAAAAATTAAAATGTAGTATTCAGTGGGTGCTTCTTTATGTATTTAAAAGTAACCCACATAAAGATTTACTTAAATGGAGCAACCTAAAATGTCTTTCCTGTCTTTGGGTTCTCGGTTTTGTAAATATTTCAGGGGAAATCTCAAAGGATCTGTAAGGTTCAATTTTGTGTCTATGTTAAGGTTCATATATCCACAGAAAACTAGATTCAGGACTTTTTATTTTTATTTTTATTTATTTTTTAATGTTTTTATTTATTAGAGAGAGAGAGAGAGAGAGAGAAAGAGAGCGAGCGAGCATGAGTGGGGGAGGGGCAGAGAGAGGGAGACAGAATCCGAAGCAGGCTCCAGGCTCTGAGCTCTGAGCACAGAGCCTGACATGGGGACCGAACTCACGAGCTGTGATCGTGACCTGAGCCGAAGTTTAACTAACTGAGCCACCCAGGTGTTTCAGGACTATTTTTAAAAGCAAGTAATGAGTTTTTATCATCAGTTCAAGTAAACAGTCAAGAACGTGTCCAACACTGTTTATAATCTCAGTAACATTTTCCCTAGTAAATATGGTAAAACCTTGGTTTGTGAGCAATCAAGAAGGCACATAAAATCAAGGAGGCGTTTTCAGGAGGGGTGTCTAGTAGTATTCATGCAGCGAAGAATTCATCAGAAGAAAGCATAAAGGTGGTGAATTAGACAATAAGCCAGTGCCTTTCACAGGCTAAGCTGATGGTCAGACCTTGAGGACCAGCCCAGTGGGTACTCTTAACTGCTCATTTCTGTGACAACACTGTGCTGTCTTTGCTCTTTAGATGGGGGTAATGTTTATTTGAAGAAAGACTGTGACAGATTATACAATGTTACATGGTTTTTTTTTTACGAGATTTGTAAGGTGTGTGTGTGTGTGTGTGTGTGTGTGTGTGTACATTATATAAAATATGTGATATTTCGATCTACCATTATATTCTTAATCATCCCTTGTTTTAATCCTGTTCAGTAGTCTCACTGGGATTTCAAACCCTATACCAAAACTAAATCACTTCTGTGAAAGATCTAGAACTGTAAAAGCGAAAAGCAGTGAGAAGACAGGTACACAACAACTTTGTCTACTGTGTTCAGAAATTTTGGCTTGTTAATTCACTAGTGGTTATAGGTTCAGCTAGTATATAGACTGGAAATGTTATTTCCAGTATGGGAATGTCATTTACACTAACAAAATATAAAATTCTTATAAAACAACGACAATGCAAATGTACTGAACTGTATGCTTAAAAATATTTACAGGGTGCAGTTTATGTGTGATTTTGCCACAATTTAAAAAGAAAACAAAATCTGTACATACCCATGAGCTGCTTCAAAACAAAAATGCTATGTAATCTGGAAATTATTAATTCCTCTATGGTCTGTGGTTTTATTCTTAGTACAGAGCTAAATATGATACTGTGTTTACCCAGGATGCTTAGTGGACAGTTAGTTTAATCCATCCGGTGTTTATAACTTGACTTGGTAATTTTCAGTATTATTAAGTTTTGGAGTTATGTATTAGTACCTTGTTAACCAATCCAACCTTGTTAAAATTAAAAATTTCGTGTATTCCTTTTAAGAGTTCCTATAAAAGAAAAATGGGTCCCTGAAGGCATATGTAATATTATTTGACATGCAGTTCTCTCTCTTCTTTCTAGAATGATCTTTGCTGAATGTTCCCCCAACACTTGTCCCTGTGGTGAGCAGTGCTGTAACCAGAGGATACAGAGGCATGAGTGGGTGCAGTGTCTAGAACGATTTCGAGCTGAGGAAAAAGGTTGGGGAATCCGAACCAAAGAACCCCTAAAAGCCGGGCAGTTCATCATCGAGTACCTGGGGGAGGTTGTCAGCGAGCAAGAGTTCAGGTACAGTGATTAGTGGGGACGCCCCAGGAAAATGGCAAAGAGACCAGATGAGAATGGAAAATGGAAGATTTCCAATTTACTTTCAACTTAATCATTAATTGGCTTTCGATTCTTCCTCTCCTCTTCAGGAACAGGATGATTGAGCAGTATCATAATCACAGCGACCACTACTGCCTGAACCTGGATAGCGGGATGGTGATCGACAGTTACCGCATGGGGAATGAGGCCCGATTCATCAACCACAGCTGCGATCCCAACTGTGAGATGCAGAAATGGTAAGAAAGCAGGGGCTGGTGAAGCCAAGAGGCCAGCAGCGCGGGAGACACGAGGGTATCACTAGAGGGATCTTGCTGCAGCGTGGGTCAGCCGGCACAAGACCTCCGGCGATCCCGTTACACCGTCTCCTCCCGGCAGAGAGTAAGCTGCTGCTGTTTCCTCACTTCATCCTAACTACCCCCCAGGAAACCACAACAGTACATACGATGCTACAGCGGTAATACCCGACACATACTGACTGCTCACTGTGTGCCGGGCGCTGTGTCACATGGTTCTCCTGTGAGTTTGCTCAGCATATTTATTACAAGCCCACTGGATTTGTCACAGTGAGAAACAAAAATTAGTAAAATAGACTAGAATCTAACTGAAAAGGAAAAAAATTACCTCTTAGATAATTACACGGGCAGAATATGTCTAACGTAATAATTTTGGAACTCTGGAGCCTGTTGAAAGCTTGCAGCTACTAGGGGAAGGCTGAGATGGCAAGCTGTGGTTCCTTTTGGTCAATTTCAACTTAGAACAGTAGCAACCACCCATCCTCTACCCCCAGCCACACGGCAGGCGGCTACGTAGGCGTTGCTGGGAACAGCTTGCTCACAGATGGCAGAAGCCAGGCTGGGTAAAGAGGACCCTGTCCTCCAAACGCCGGGGATCCCTGTCCTCCACCATTGTTGTAAGCCCCTCTTCCTCCACCTGAAGTGACTACCGAGAGACTTGAAAGGCCCTATTTTCTTCCCCTTCATTTTTCACTTTTCTTCCGCTTGGGAGCTAGAAATTAAAGGTTCGGATATGTAAACACTGGGAAAGGAGGGAGAATCTTATTTCCAGATGTACCACATTATTACGTTCAAACTTGCAGTGTTCAAGGACAAATCACAAGGAATACAAAGAAACAGAAAACCGTGGCCCATTCAAAGGAAAAAAAATAATTCAAAATAATTTTTCCCTAAAAAAGACTCAATTGAGACTACATTAGACAATGACCTCAAAACAAATGCCCAGAGATGCTCAAAGAACTAAGGGATGATGTGGACAAATTTGTGAAAATGATGTGTGAACAAAATGGAAATACCAAAGAGATAGAAAGCCTAAAGGACCATAATTGAAATGAAAAATCCACTAGAGGGATTCAAAGGCAGATTTGAGCAGACTAAAGAAAGAATCCGTGAACTTCAAGATATGACAATGGAAATTCTCCAAGCCTGAAGAACAGAAAGAGAAAAGATAGAAGGAAAGAGAACAGACCCTAGGCTACCTCTGGGACACCATCCAGCAGACCAACCTGTGCATCGTGGGTGTCCCAGAAGTAGCAAAGAGAAAGAGGCGGAGAGAATATTTGAAAAAAATAATGCTTGTAAACTTCCTACATTTGATGGAGGGCATGAACACAAACAACCACAAAGCTCACCGAGCTCCAAGTAAGAAGAACTTAAAAGAGACTCACAGCAAGAAACATAAACAGACTTTGAAAAGATAAAGAGCACATCATGAAAGCAGCATTAGACAAGCACATCATCACATACAAGGGATCCTCAATAAGATGATATGCAGGTTTCTTATCAGAAATTTTGGGAGGCCTGGGGCACCTGGTTGGTTCACCTGGTGGAGTATACAACTCTTCATTTCAGAGTTGTGGGTTTGAGCCCCATGTTGGGTATAGAGATTACTTAAAACCTTAAAGAAAAAAAAAAAAGCGGATGGCTTACACTCTCCAATCAAGTGACAGAGTGGAATTCAACATCCATTTATGATTAAAACTTTAAACAAAGTGGGGATGAGGGGCACCTGGGTGGCCATTGGTTAAGCATCTGACTTCGGCTCAGGTCATGATCTCACAGCTCATGAGTTCCAGCCCCACATCGGGCTCTGTGCTGACAGCTCAGAGCCTGGAGCCTGCTTTGGATTCTGTGCCTCCCTCTTTGAACCAAGTGGGCATGAGAGAACATACGTCAACATAATAAAGGCTACATACAACAAGCCCACGGCTAATATCATACTCAGTAGTGAAAGTCGGAAAGCTTTTACTCTTAAGATCAGAAAACACTCGGGGTGCTTGGGTGGCTCCGTTGGTTAAGCATCTGACTTTGGGTCAGGTCGTGATTTCACAGTTCGTGAGTTTGAGCCCCACATCACTCTCTCTGCTGTCAGCTCAGAGCCCACTTCAGGTCTGCTGTCTCCCTCCCTCTCTCTGTGCCCCCCACCTCAAAAATAAACAAACATTAAACAAAAACAGATCAGAAAACACTCTTACCACTTTTATTCAACATAGTACTGGAAGTACTAGCCAGAGCAGTTAGGCAAGAAAAAGAAATAAAATACATACAAATTGGGAAGGAAGAAGTAGAACTGTCTCCATCTGTAGATGACATGACATTGTATACAGAAAACCTGAAAAAAGTGTTAGAACTGATCGATGAAGTTTAAGTTGCAGAATTCAGAATCAAAATATGCAATTCAGTTGAATTTCCATACTCTAATAATGACCTATCAGAAAAATTAAGAAAACGATCCTCCCATTTTCAACAGTGGCATAAAAAATGAAATACCTAAGAGTAAATTTAACCAAGGAAGTAAAAAGCACGTACACTGAAACCCTTAATGATTCAGTAATGAAAAAATTGTAGAAGGCACAAATAAATGGACGATATCATATGCTCATGGAATGGAAGAATTAATGTTAAAATGTCCACACTGCCAAAAGCAGTCTACAAACTCAGTGCAATTAAAATCAAAACTTCAATGGCAAATTTCGGGGAAATAGAACAAAGAATCCCAATACCCCAAATAGTGAAACGAATCGAGAAAGAAGAATAAGGCTGGAGGCTTACCACTTCATGATTCCCAACTGTTACAATGCTATAATAATCAAAAGAGTATGGTATTGGCATAAAACAGATAGAAATGGATGTAGTACAACAGAGCGCTCAGAGATAAAGCTGCATTCATGTGACCAATTTAAGGCCAAGGTAGGGAGCGGGCGGTCTGTTCAGTAAGTTGTGTTGGGAAAACTGGACAGCCACATATGAAAGAATGAAACTGGATGCCTGTCTTACACCATACACAAAAGTCCAGTCGGGATGTCTTGAGAACTTAAAGTTAATACCTGAAACTATAAAATTCCCAGAAGTAATCGGGATGAGCTCCTCGACATCAGTCTCAGGGAGGACTTTTTGGGTTTGACACCAGAAGCAAAGGGCAACAAAAGCAGAAATGAGCAAGTGGGACCACAACGAACTCTACACGAAGGAAACCATCAACAAAATAAAGCACCCCACAGAGTGGGGGAAAGTAGCGCAATTCATATATTTGGTAGGTGGTTAATATCTAAAATACATACAAAGAACTCTTACACCTCGGTAGCAACGAAGCAGTCCAGTTGAAAAAGGGCAAATGGTCTGAATGGACATCTTTCCAAAGAAGACATGCAGATGTCCAACAGGTGCATGAAAAAGGGGCTCAACATCCTTAATTGTCAGGGAAACACAAGTCAGAACCACAAGGAGATAGCACCTCGTGCCTGTTAGAACAGCCATCGTGAAAAAGACAAGAAATAGCAAGTGTTGGTGAGGAGGAGGAGTAAAGTGACCCTTGTGCACTGTAGGTGGGAATGTGAGTTGGCCCAGCCACTGTGGAAAACAGTATGGTGGGCGCCTGGGTGGCTCAGGGTAAGTGTCCAGCTCTTGATCTCAGCTCAGGTCATGGTCTGACATTTCGTGGGCTCAGGCCCCACCTCATCGGGCCCTGTGTTGGCAGCATGGAGCCTTGCCTGGGACTCTCTCTCTTTCCCTCGCTCTCTGCCCCTCCCTCTCTCTCAAAATAAATAAAACCTTAAAAAAAAAAACAATATAAACTTTTCTCAAAAAATTAAAAATCGGGCTGCCTGGCTGGTTCAGTTGGTACACAGCATGTGACTCTTGATCTCGGGGCCATGAATTCTAGCCCCACGTTGGACATGGAGCCTGCTTAAGAAAAAATAAATTAAAAATAGAACTACCATATGATCCCACATTCCACTTCTGGGTATTTATCCGAAGGAAACAAAAACACAGACTCAAAAAGATACTTGCACCCCCATGTTCATAGGAGCCTTGTTTACATAGTAGAGACATTGAAATAACCCCAGTATTCACTGATGGATTAATGGAAGCTTGCTAACAGAATAGAGCTTGAGCACAAGAAAACACTTTGTAATTGAGTGTGGGGATGGATGTTAAATAGAATTACTGTGGTGATCAGTTTGCAATATGTACCTTTATTGAATCATGTTGTACACCTGAAACTAATATGTGTGTCAGTTTTTTCTCAGTTTAAAAACGATCAGAATAGGTAACACATGATCCAACTACATGCTGTCTACAGGAGACTCAACTTTAGATCCAAAAACAAACAGGCTGGACGTGAAAAGATCAAAAAAGGTATTTCATACAAATAGTAACCCAAACAGCGCAACAGCAGCTACACAAAATGGACTTGAAACCAAAAATGGTTACAAGAGACAGAGAAACACATTGTGTACTAATAAAAGATTTTGTACAACAAGAAGATAAAACCGTTACAAAGATTTACACACCTGGGACGCCGGGGTGGCTTAATTGGTTAAGGGTCTTACTTGGTTTCAGCTCAGGTCATGATCTCAGGGGCGTAAGAGCGAGCCCCTCCCTCTCCCGCCAACTCTGCAGTGGGCGTGCAGACTGCTTAAGATTCTGTGTCTCCCTCTCTCTCTTCCTCTGCGTGGGTGTCTCCCCCCACCCTCTCTGTTAGAAAGATGGAAGGAAAGAAGAAAGAAAGTACAGTAAAACCTTGGATTGCAAATCTGCGAGTGGTCCACAGGATGAGCAGATTTTTTTTAATGTTTATTTTTGAGAGCATGAGGGGGACAGAGGATCTGAGGCGGGCTCTGTGCTGAGAGCAGAGAGCCCGACACTGGGCTTGAACCCACAAACTGAGATCGTGACCTGAGCCGAAGTTGGACACTTAACCAACCAAGCCACCCAGTCAC